ACAAGGGGCCTGACAAGCCCGGGAAGCCGCTCGTCCCCAAGGTTGAAACTCGGGTGACCAGGGCCCGGACTGAGGATGATTCGGGAGCCGGTGCCTCCAAGAAACCGCGCGTCGAGGGTACTGCCTCCAAGGCTATTATAGTGGCCGATGATTCTGATGGGGAGCCCGGAAGTCCCCTTAAGCGGAAGCCCGCCTCTCGGAACAAGTCCCGTCCTTCTCCCCCACGAACCTCTGACGTCCGTCGTCTCCGGGATAGTGATGTCCAGACTGCCAAGGATTCTGACGATGCTCGTCCTCCTTCGCCCCCGGAGACCAATGGGTCCTCCCTTGGTTTGATTGAATTTTCCGGGGTTGGCCCGCGCAAGGAGTCAATGATGCTCTTTGGCCAAACAGCATCCTCTATATGGTGCGGCCTGAATCTCAAGGTCCCCCAGGATTTTGCTGCTCAGGAGGCACCCGAAGACCTTCTGGAGTGTGGCCAGAGCACCTTGGATAAGGCCGGGCTCTACTTCCACAGGGCCCGGATGGCCTTCGAGCATCAGGGCAGGGAAATGGCCAGGGTGCGGGCCGAAAGCGACGCCCTTCTGAGGAGTGCAAAAGGCAGGGCTGGCACCCTTCAAGAGAAAGCCGATGCCTACGATAAGCTCGTCCAGGAGAATGCCTCTCAGAAGGAGCTCCTCAAGAAGCAGGAGGCCGAGCTCGTGGATCTTCGCAGCCGGATGTGGGCCGTAGAGAAAGCCAAGGTGGAGCTTCGCCAGACGGGCGTGGACAATCATGTCCCTATTTATGAGGCCGATGTTGCCAAAATCAAGGAGTCTGGTTCCATTGCCTTTCAGAAGTCCAAGGCTTATACTGGCGCCATCCACACTATGGCCATGAAGTTCCTCCCGCGGCTCGTTGGCGAGTTCCTGGCCACCTGCCCGGATGCTTACCAGGATGGGGTTAAACTGCTCCAGGCCACCCCCACCGGACGTCGTTTCCTTGACGATCTCGCCGATGACACCTACCGCAAAGGTATGGTTGGGTTAGTAGCGGAGAATCTCCCGACGTTCGAGCGTCACTTTGGGGCTCCCTTCGACCCGGAGGCGGCTGGCTTCGATGTTTTGATGGCAGATGCTCATGCAGGGGCCCTTGAGCTGCTGAAGGAGCAGGAGGAAGCCGCAGCTAGTGACAAATCCAAGCAGGCCCCTTCCCAAGCTCCAGCTCCGGACGCCGATCGGTCGTGATTCTCTGCTCATTATCTTGTACTTGTACGATTTTTCGTCTTTTGTATTGTACTCTAATACATTGTAATTTTCCGGCCAATAGTGCCGAGGAATAAAAATCATTCTTTGCTCCATGCTCGTCTGGCATTTTTTTTTTTTTTTTTTTTTTTTTTTTTTTTTTTGGAGTCTTTTAGTCTTCGTTCGTCCTTGGTCCTTGGTCCTACCGGCGTCCCTACTTCGAGGAGACGTTCGGTATCCGCAGACATCGCAAGGAAGAACAGGTTTATCTACATCGAGATTCCCCCCTTCTTCGTTCGTCCGTGGCCCTTTTAGTCTTACCGGCGTCTCTTGCTTCGAAGAAGACGTTCGGTACCCAAGGGACTCGCAGGGACGAACAGGTTTACCCTCACGGGTTCCCGTCTTCGTTATCCCACGTCCATCGATCCATGGTCATTTGTGGGATAAACAGGTTTATCTTGGCAGGCTCCCTTGGTTCGTCTAGCCCCCTCCACGTCTCTACTAACCTCTACATCGAGAGGCGTTCGCCTTCGGCGGTGGGGGAAGATCTGGCACACCCGGGCAAGATTCCCTTCAGTGTAGGAGCTTCTCTCCTCTTCTCCCCATTTTTTTTTTTTTTTTTTTTTTTTTTTTTAAGGGAGGTGATCTTCGTTCGTCCTTGGTCCTTGGTCCTACCGGCGTCCCTACTCTGAGGGGACGTTCGGCATCCGCAGACATCACAAGGAGGAACAGGTGTATCTGCATCGAGATTCCCTGTGCTTCGTTCGTCCTTGGTCCTTGGTCCTACCGGCGTCCCTACTTCGAGGAGACGTTCGGTATCCGCAGACATCACAAGGAGGAACAGGTGTATCTGCATCGAGATTCCCTAGTGCTTCGTTCGTCCTTGGTCCTTGGTCCTACCGGCATCCCTACTTCGAGGAGACGTTCGGTATCCGCAGACATCACAAGGAGGAACAGGTGTATCTGCATCGAGATTCCCTTCTTTAGCGGTCGTTGGCAAGAACAGAAATGATGTAAAAAACAGAGGGCCTTTATTATTGACGACGTCCGGTCATTTTACATGGGAGTGGAAACATAACAAGGACATCAGCCTCTAACTATTGATAGAACTTTTTCAGGTGTTCAACGTTCCACATCCCGGCATGGTTCCCCTCCAGGGTATGGAGGAGGAACGTCCCCTGGTTGTATCTTCTGATGACCCGGTAAGGTCCCTCCCAGTTCTTCGCCATTTTGCCGCCTTCGAGCGGCTTGCTCTTCTCTCTTTTCCTGAGTACGAGGTCCCCGGCCTCTATTTCGCGGAATTTCACAGCCTTGTTGAAATATCTCTGGGTGGCCCTGTGATATTCTTCCATGCGTCGAGCCGCCAGGTCCCTCCGTTCCTCAATGAAATGGAGCTCCGCTCGTAGGTTGGTCTCGTTGTCCTCCGGCTGGAAGTGCTTGGTGCGGTGTGTAGGTACCAATACTTCCGTCGGTACCTTAGCTTGGAAACCATAAGCTAAGGCGAAGGGGGTTTCCCCCGTCGCCGTTCTGGGCGTTGTCCTGTATGTCCACAAGACATAATTCAGCTGTTCCGGCCAGGTGGAGGTGTAGTCTTCCAGCTTCTTCTTGATCCCATCCATGATGGTCCGGTTCATGTTCTCCACTTGGCCGTTGGCCTGCGGATAGGCCACCGAGGCCTTAGAGTGCCTGATGCCCCACTTTGCCAAGTATGCTTCAAAGCCTCTGCCGACGAACTGCCGGCCGTTGTCAGTGATGATCTGCTCTGGGATTCCGAAGCGGCAAATGATGTTCTGCCAGACGAACTTCTGGCACTGGAACTCAGTGATGGAGGCCAATGGTTCGGCCTCGACCCACTTCGTGAAATAATCAATCGCCACGATGACGAACTTCCTTCCACCAGCAGCCGTTGGCAGAGGACCCAGCAGGTCTATCCCCCACCTAGCAAAAGGTAGTGCGATGGTCATCGGGGTGTAGAAACTAGCTGGGCGGCCGGGGACAGGTGCATACTGCTGGCATACTGCGCACTTCCGAGTGTGGTTGAAGCAATCTTGCTGTATGGTCGGCCAGTAGTAGCCTTGCAGGATGATTTTCCTGGCCAAGGTCCGGGGGCCCTGGTGGCTGGAGCAGATCCCTTCATGTATTTCCTCGATCACTGCTGCCGCCAGGCTCGGCGGGAGGCATCTGAGGTAGGGCCCGCCGAACGTCTTCTTGTAGAGCTGCCCGTCAATAAGTTCAAAGTTAGGGGCACGCCTCTTTATCCACGCAGCTCTTCCTGTACTGCCATCACCTTCGGGCTCAGGGAGTGTTCCATCTCTGAGATAATCTGCTATCTCCTTTGCCCAGTTAGGTTCAGCAACGGAGATAACCTCCACCTGGATGACGTCCGTCGCCGGTACTGGGAACACCTCCTGCCTAACGAAGCCTCTGATGTGTCGGGGGATGCTTGACGCCGGGTCATCGGTTGGGGGGTTGCTTAGTTTTGACAGTATGTCCGCCTCTGCATTCTCCACCCGCGATACCTGCTCAAGCACCACCTGTTCAAATTGTGCGGTCTGTTCCTCCGCCAGCTCTTTGTAGACCTTCATTCTCTCTTCCCTGGTTTCGGCCGTGCCGTTCATCTGGGTCACCACCAGCTGGCTGTCCATTCTCACCTTCAGACGAGCTGCTCCGAGGGCTTTCGCGCATTTTAGTCCTGCGATAAGCGCCTCGTATTCAGCCTCGTTGTTGGTGACCTTGAACTCGAATTTCATAGAGTAATAGGCCTTGAAAGTGAGTTGGATTGCTCCAAGGGACCCTTGAGAGATATCGGCTGTTCGTCTCCTGGCCTTGACAGATACTCACCATGTGGACTGGGTTTCCTCCGGTGACTACAGGCTTGCTCTGGGGACGTTCGTCGCCATCCCTGGTGGCCCGTGGTTCTGCTCCTTGTCCCTGCATAGACGTTCGTCGGGATGAGCTGCTGGGCCTGAGTCCCCCAACACCAGACATTCGTCCATCCTCAAGGAACATAGGCCTGTGGGCTGGCCTAGTGTTCTAACTGGACGTTCGTCTGGCGAAATGGGTTAGTGGGCCGGACCTCGGCTTGGGCCCTTAACCCAACAACTTTAATATACTCCGCAACATGTAGTAAAGTTTAAGGAAACCCCCATAAAAAATATTATTATTATTATTATGATTATTAGTGAATGAAATAAAAAATGAATACCCACTCTGCCGCTTATAACTTTACCAAAATTGTGTGATTGTGGAGTGAAGTGAAAAATACTACATAATAGAAACACTAATTAATTGATAAAAGGAGAAGGCGTTAAATTTTTTAAAATAACGAGATGATAAAATTATAAAGAATGGAAGGAGTTTTAAAAATTGACTTATATTAGTTGAAATAATTATGGTCATTGTCTTCGTCTAAGAAAAAATATGGTAAAATTTTCTAATTTATGATATTTTTACTTGGATTATAATTTGCTGCTCTTATCTGACCTGGTCTGAACTTGTCTAATCTAGTAAATGTGTGATTTCTGTATATTTCGTATTTTATACACCCTCCGTCCCCTTTTAAATGTTCCGTTTTACCATATTGAGATGTCCCTATTTAATTGCCCCATATCTTATTTGGTAAACTTTGTGTGGCTCAAAATCATTCTTACTTTATTCTTACTTTATCAATTAATATCAACCACACAAACTCACTTTTCTTAAAATCCGTGCCACCATGTCCCGTCCCATTTAAAAGGAGACGGAGGGAGTAATTAAGAAAATTTGGTCTAGTTTGGTGTCATGTGTACTAGTCTTCCACACAAGCGCCCTTCCACACAATCGCAAAAGCAAACTTTACCGCTAATAATTAGGGCTCATTTTTAAATTCCATCTCAAACAACGAGCAAGAGATTTTGAACTTTCCTGGACCAGCAAAGCTCAGCTGCATAAGAATGGCGGTCGACGCAGACATGAGTGGATGGAGTGAGCTTCTACACACTTCTTCGAAGCTTCTCGAACAAACCGCTCCTTCAGCCCTATTCCCTCCTCTTCAGGTTCTGTATCTCCATAGGTTTCAGGATTTTTTCTTCAACAGTTTGTCAATGAACACTTTTGAAAGGAATATATGTATGTGGAGAACATTTGGCCCTCTATTTACAGAAATATGGTTTCTCATTGTAAATATAGAGGAATTTGGATCAAGTTGAAGCGTTGTCAAAAAAATTGAAGGCTAAAACTCTAAGAGGGGAAGCTCCTTCTCAATCAATTGCGGCTACAAGGTACTTATTTATGCATATGTCACTTTATGTGATATGTATTACACGTGCTTTTTGCCTGTAGCTCACCTGGTGGGAAGGGCTGCCCTAGCTCACATGGTGCCCCAAGTGAGAGGACTAGGTTCAATTCTAAGAAAAGACTTGAATTGGAAGTTGGAACCCTACTCTCTTTACATCCTTCTCTCTAGACCCTCAGGGATGGTGTCATCTTTTCCTTTTTTTCATGTGTTTTTGTCCATTTAAAAAACTACGGAGTAGTAGTTATCGATAACTTCAAGTTTTCCAATTTTTGGCTTATATAACTTCATGTTTTCTAATTCTTATAAGTTTTCCATTTATATGGTTGAGTTCAAATAAGAATTAATCTAAAAACGTGTATTAGATAAGGTTTATTTGAAAGTGCATCAAATAAGGTTATTGTGCATCAGATTGACAGTTTGGAGGGCTGAGATTAATTTATTTTACATTTTTAAACGTCAAAAACTTTTTTTTATTTGATCCAAATTATATATATATTCTGATACGATAACTATGACACGCTTATTTTCATGTAATTTTTCACTAATTTGTATTTATGTACGACAGACTGGTTGACAAACTGCTAATTTAAGGATGTGTGTTAGATTTGTTTGAATATTTGTGGCTTCTTTCATTTGTAGGTTACTGGCCCGTGAAGGAATCAATGCTGAACAGCTTGCTAATGATCTTAAGTCTTTTGAGTTGAAGGCATGTCCATCTCATTTTCTCCAAACAGTTCTGTAACCTTTTCAAGAAGAGTGACATGCCATAGTGAATTTTGAGGCAATGGGTTTGGAAATTGTAGGCCAAGACTTTACACTTTTATTGTTAGTATGATGCTTCTGATCAAATAATAGGAAAATTTGCTAGTGTGCCTGTTGGCCTACCTTATATTGCTTGTTGATGCATGTGCATTTAAAAAATTGTTGCCATGAGTAGAAGAAAAGGAAATAAAAGATAAAACATTCAAGAGGTTGAGCTGTTGAGGTAAAACTCTTTGGGTTCCATGTAAACATATCGTGATAACTATCTACTGGGTGATGAGAAAATTCTCCAATCAGGAGTAAAAAGTACTACGTAAAAGATTTTCTCAAATAACATTGTCAATGCTTTCTTCCCAAAACATAACTCGTTCACTCCTATTTAGGAGAGTTTTAATTGTTTATTCTGTTAATAGATTTAAATAAGTCCTTTTCTGGGAACAAAACATACTAAGGGGGTGTTAGTATCTACTTCTTAAAACTGCTTCTGCTCCTTCAAAGAGCAGAAGGAGATATCAGAGTGTTTGGGGGAAAGTACATAAGTACTTTTGAGGTCTCCAAAATGCTCCCAGAAGCAGTTTTTTAGAAGCTGGGGGAGACCGGCTTCTGAAAATTGATTCTGATTCTACTTTTGCTTTTAAAAAAGAAGCATAAGCATCAATTCCAGACACCCCATAGTCCTATTTTGAACTTTGTCCATGTTTTACTTCTGTTTTGAGCAATTTCTTTAATTTGCGATTGCCCTTGCTCATCACTGTGCATCTTTCTTTGTTCAAATACTCTTGAAATGTCAATAATAAAATCTGTCTTCATAACTGAGTAAAGCTGGGGTCAGTGAGGGTCTTGCATTCTGCTTAAAACATGGCCTTGAGATCCTATCATTCTCATTTTGTCTCTCAATCTCCCTCTTTTTTTTGCCAGACAACATTTGAGGATGTCTTTCCCGCTGAGGCAACTACTGTTGAAGAGTATCTGCAACAGGTAGCCTATGTTTTTTATTGCGTAAACTAAGTGATTTTCAATATTCTTTGTGGAATTTTGGGTGCTTCTGTCCTATGTGCATATTTTTTTAATGTTTATTCATGAAGTAACCGAATAATCACCTATGGAAGAATCTCCTTAAAGCAGTTGTAGGGCAGCATACATGATCCTTCTTATATACATGAGCCTTGTGCACCAAATTTAATGGTTGTACTTAGGCTTTCATAGTGTATAGCGCTAAATGATCTATTTGTTGCTTGCATATTATTATACTTTTTATTTTGAAACTGGTTTTCCGAAAGCAGAAAATTGCCCTAATATTGTTTACCTACTGGATCTTGTTCTACGCTTTACAAACATGTAGTATGTGTTTGTTTTCCCAGAGTTTATTGGGACTTAAGTACTTAACTAATTCAAAAAGCATAAGCTGGACCGGAGACTAAAAAAAGAGAGTTTTTTGTACTAGTTCCTTGATCATATGCAAAACATTTTTCTTAAAATAGGCTTCTTATTTTAGGCATGGCACAAACCCCACTCTTTTTCAAGAGCTATAGAGGGAGCTAACAATTAACATGCACTACATGTATATCGTTTTTTGATTTTTTAAATTTGTCAAGTTTACACATGCTTTTACCTATTTTCTCGATTTATTCATTTATATCATCACAATATTTAGCTCAAACTGTAAAATGATTGTTTGATTTTTAGTATTGGGATTGCTGTTGTAGATCCATGAAATGGCAATGGTTTCAGCAGTTCAAGAAGCTCAGAAGGATAACCTTAAAAATTTCAATGACTACATGATGACAGTCTTAGAGGTTGGTGATCTTGAAATAGGCCACTCATGCTATCTTTTTTCTGCCAGAGTTTATTCTTTCGGCAACAACAATTACTTATTTACTTGAAGTTGTGTGAACTAGTATCCTGCATGCTTGTTTCCATAAATTTTAGTGATATTTAAGACAGGTTTTGTGGTTGCTACATCCTCTGATTTCTTCAAGATGCTGGGTTATTAACTTTACAGCTCTATTGTAACAAACTTGTAGGAGGATTGGCAGAAGGAAAAGAGAAACTTCCTTCAGAGCCTGAGCCGGATTTCGACATTGCCGAGAGCAAATATCAATGAATCAAGCCCTGGGAGTGCTCGTCACCGCCAGTTAGTGTCGTTAACTTACAGTCCTCAGGTGTCCTCTGGTCCCACTAGCATGGAGCTAGCACCTTTGACTGATAAGTCTATCCTCGAGAAAAAAGCTAATGTGTATAAAGATGTTGTTAAGAGCCTCAACACCGCTAGAGAGCGTGGGCTACCCTTTAAAGTAATTTTATCTTCTGCTTTTGAAAATTTCATGCATCACATTTTGTTATGTCTAGGTTTTTAACTGCTTTCATAGTTCAATGGAAGTTACATTCGTACGAGACTAATTGAACTGGTATTATAATCTAATAATCCATTAAAACATAAGAGTGATCCCATTAGGTGTGCTTGCCTTATACCTATCTCCCTTCTTTCATGTTCTTTAAGACATTGATTTTGATAGAGAGGCATCTTCAATGATTGTTGACTAGATTGTTTGATAATTGATTCAATTTTTTCCTTTTGTCACTGTTAGCCTGCCACGGCTTTTAAGCATGCATATGAAAGCTTGGGGCTTGATACGTCTGGTGGGAAGTCAGTTAGCATGCAGAAAATTTGGCATCTTGTTCTGGTATGCAAGATTCCTACTAGCATAAATCTTATAGAGAATTTGAGAAACAGAGAATACAAATGCTTCATAGTTCTTATTATTGCAAACGTTGTACAGGCTCTGATGGGTGAAGATGCTACTAGACTTAATGTTTCAAAAAAAGTTTCCTTGGTGATGGGAGCAAGGCACCACCTTGAGTTTGGACACGAGAAATATATATTAGATACAATTCAAAGCCACCCGGCACAGGTAATAAAGCTCAGTATTGGTGTTTTGTTAAGTCTTTAGTTACTATGAGCATGCTTGGTAAGCATAAGTCACTACCTTCTAGCTTTTGTATTTTTTAAAAAGTCTCTAAAAAATTCTAAGCTTCTAGTTGTATTAATTAGTCCTAACAACTTGTATACAAAATAGAACTAAATCAAACAGTCAGCTTTTTTTATCAAACAACTACCACCTTTCTTTTTTTAAGATCTTTTCAGTCACTAAAAGCTAATAGTTTCTAAAAATCTCACAAAAGTATCTTTTCAGGTAGTTGTGCCAAACATACCCTACAGCTATATTAGTCTTACAACACTGGCGTTTTATGTTTGAGAGATCTTCTAATTGTTTTTATAAGAGTTGATAGTTTGAAACAGTACTACTCTCTCCTTGTTTGAATGGTTATCCGATTTCCTTTTGAGTAAGTTTTAAACTACTTTTTCCTCTTTGGGGCGCTTTCCCTATCTGAAAAATAAGATATTATCAAATGACATTGATGCCCTTGCCTTTTCATATTATCTCTCATACTTGTCTTATCTTTACATCTTCTCCCTCCGACATTTCATTTTTTATGCGCTGCAAAATATTCTTATCATTCTACTCTTAAGCATGTCAAAAAGCCTAGTGAACAACAAATTGAATCAGGAGGGCTGACTACTTTTGGAGTCTTAATCTCATGAGTTTTCAGAAAGGCCAATCACGCCTCCTCTGCCAAGGTCGAGAAGGCTCGGCTATTCTTCATCAACCATGACTTGTTTTTATTTGAAAGAAAATAACTTAATTATTAATGATAAGAGTAGCAAGAATCATAACAATCAAAATTCGTAACATTACAATCATAGCGTTCAATGCTACACTAGGGTGAGACAAAGAACAAAAAAGCTCCATAGATGCGCTTCTGCTCGCTAACCCTGCAACCATATAGACTCGTACATACACACTTTTATCAAACTCACTTGTATTTTGTCTTCACTTTATCTTAACTAATTTATTCCAACTCCCAGAATGGAATTAGAACTAGATTATTGCTTGTTTTCCATTTCATTGGTTTTTGACTTTTAGATCCACATTGCATTAAATTGTAACTTTTCTTCTTTGCTCTCTTCATCTTTCCTTCGAAGCAGTGCACACGATATATGAATGAATAATAATGGTTCCTGCATTGATTGCATTGATTGTAGGCTGCTCTTGGTGGTGCTGTTGGTAATTTGCAGCGAGTTCATGCCTTTCTCAGGGTTTGTTCGTTTTTTCCATTAAATCATTAGCAATGTTAAAGCTGCATATAGGAAACATGTATCAACATATAATTTTTTAAAGAAATTGCCCTAAATAGGAGTAAAAACAATGTGAAATTCCAAAATAGGAGCATTATGATTTTATTTATTCCCCAAATAGGAATCATTACTGTCATGCTTGAAAGTACTGCAAATTATGGCATTAATATGACCATATTAATGCTTGGTAATACCAAAGTATGCTAGTAGGTTACTCCTATTTAGGTGAAAAAATAGTGCTCTTATTTTGGAATTTCACACTGTTTTTACTCCTATTTCAGAAAACTTACCTATTTTCTAAAAAACAAACTATCTATCTATTTTGTTGATTTCAATGTTCTATGCAGATTCGTTTAAGAGATTATGGAGTTCTCGACTTTGATGCCACAGATTCTTTTAGGCAGCCTCCTGTTGATACCACATGGCAGCAGGTGAAGAACACATTGATTATTACTGCGTCATGTCACACACCCATTAACTAGAACAAACCAAAACCTATAAAGTTGTGATATGGTTATCACAATGATCCTTCTGTAACTATCTCACTTTAATTTGTAATTAATCATGTCTTACCCATACATTACATTGGTCTTTCTTCAGCAGAGTGATGTTAGTTACTTGTCCTGATCACTCTTGAACAAAGTTTTCAAACTGAAGTTCAAGTCTCTCTCTGAGAATGGTTGTATGATTCGATGCTTTAAATGTTTAATGAATCGTATACTGCATAATCAAATTATGGTGCATACTCCATTGGCTAACATTATTCTTACCGAGTTTGTATATTTGTCTAAACACGATCAGCTAAGTTGAAATTTTTTTGGTTTTCTTTTCTTTATTTTCATAATTAGCAGTTTTATTTACTTTCAGTTTCTGTGCCAATATTTTTTCTGGGAGTGGAATGCCAAATTTTGATGGTTGACATCGTTGTTTAGTTTTCTCTAGGGAAGTTCAAGTGCCTTGTTCATTATCAATTTTTTTTTTTTTTTATGTTTTCTGCTTCTTTGAAACTTTAAAACAAAGGTTTGAGAACTTGAGAGAATTTTTTCAGTTATTTGTTGGCACTTGGCAGTGTTCAATATTAACATGAGTATTGTAAGTATGATAATCTTTAACTACCTCTGTCCCATAGTAAATGCCGTTTTATGAGCTACAATGTTTGACAAATGATAAAGTAAATTCTTCCTAACGAGACATAAGTTAGTGTTAGTAATTACTAATTACAATTTACATATTTAGAAACATTACTAAAAATCTTTCGAGTCGCAAAAACCAAATTTGAATATAAAAAAAGTTTAGTACTACCTCCGTCCCGCTAAGATTGTCCCGTTTTACCATTTCGGTCCGTCCCACTAAGATTGTCACATGCCAAATTTGGCAAAGTTTGTGTGGCTCTAAATCATTCTTACTTTATCAATTCAATATCAACCACATAAACCACTTTTTATTAGTTTGCGTGCCACTCCCTCTTGTCCCGTTGTTAGTGGGGCGGAGGGAGTACTAAATTTAGCTAATGTAAGTTATGTTGAGTGCATGAATAGTAACTATGAAGTCTATTTAAGACAGAGGGAGTAGTTCATTGTGCAACATACTTCGTATATCATATACCTTACTGCAACATTTTTCTTCTGTCAGGATATTTTTCAAATTTAATTTGTTTCTGTTCTTTCTTATAATAGATATATTTCTGCTTGAGGACTGGATATTATGATGAAGCAAGAGAGGTTGCTCAACAATCCCGTGCATCTCAGCAGTTTGCTGTTATGGTACTCTCTATGATTTTGCACGTTTGATCTACCGAGTGTTCTCTTTTTGATACATATAATAATTATTTCTTTTTGTTGCAGCTGAGAGAGTGGATATCCACAGGAGGTCAGGTATCAGCGGAGACTTCAGCTGCTGCTTCAGAAGAATGTGAAAAAATTATAAGGTTGGGTGATCGGATCGGTCGGACTTCATATGATAAGAAGAAATTGCTGCTTTATGCAATTGTGTCTGGCTCACGTAGACAGATTGACAGACTGCTTAGAGAAACACCTACACTTTTCAATACTATTGAAGATTTCTTGTGGTTCACTCTATCCGTTGTTCGCGAGGGTCCAGGAAGATCTGATGTCCTGAATGAGGGGTTGTTACCTTATAGTTTGGATGATTTGCAGTCTTATTTAAATAAATTTGAGCCATCTCATTATACTAAGAATGGAAAGGATCCTCTGGTCTACCCATATGTTTTGCTTTTAAGCATCCAATTGCTTCCAGCAGTTTTGCATTTATCTAAAGACATGGGAGATGAAGGGTATAATGTGGATGCTGTCCATATATCTGTTGTGTTGGCAGATTATGGGGTCCTTTCTGAAGCAGTGCAAAAAGTTGGGGTTATGGATGCTTATGCTGAAGCCTCTAGCATTATTAGGCAGTATGGGTCTTTATATCTTCGCCATGGTGACCTGTCAACGGCATTGGAGTATTACGTACAGGCTTCTGCAGCAGTAGGTGGTGGACAACTGTCATGGTCCGGAAGGGCAAATGTGGACCAGCAGAGGCAGAGGAATGTGATGCTGAAGCAACTTCTCATAGAGATCTTGCTTCGGGATGGTGGTGTCTACCTTTTACTTGGATCGAGGGGTGATGGCGATGAAGGTCAGCTCGGAATATTTTTGACAGATAGAAAGACCAGACAGTCCTTTCTGCATGAGGCTGCTCGCCAGTGTCAAGATGCTGGACTTTATGACAAAGTAAATAGTTTTTACATCCTTGCTTCACTCATCGCTTCAACTTGTTTGCTTTATGCATGACTAATATATTCATAATGTATCTACCAGTGCAGATAAATATGTCATTAGATTTAATAAGTTATAAGCTTTCTCATGTTATATAGTGGTTGATATAATGTTAGTTTTTTGTTAACTTTTCTTTAATAAAAGGTAGAGAAGCTATTATATTTCAGTCCATCTATTTAGCTACTCTTAGGTATTGGTTCATATGTATTCTTGGTTTAATCCACTTGCTGTTGTTCCCTTTGCTGTTCATTAGTGTATAGAGATTCAGAAGAGAGTGGGTGAATTCTCAGCAGCGTTAGATACAGTGAATAAGTGTTTATCCGATGCAATATGTGCCCTCTCACGTGGAAGGCTGGACGGGGAGAGTCAGACTTCCGCACTCATTCATTCTGGGAATGAGATTTTGGAGACTTTTAAATATTATCCAGATATAAGGTAATATGAATATATATTGTGGTTGAAACTGAGTTTATACAGAATATCATGTTTTGTTAAGAACACACACAGTCTCACACACATATTACATAGTTTCACTTCTCAAGAAGTCATTCATTTAGTAGTGACCTATTTGTTGAGTATACCACATCAGATGACTACTGGAGTTAAAACTAGTATATTAGTGTGAGGTTAACTGTCGAAGACCAATCCACTGAGGAAGTAAGGATCCTTTTAAGTCAAGACCAATCCAACTTAGCATGGTATTAGAGAATAGTCTAATGGTGGCTTGTGGGGTGCCCGCCCGCTCGATGGTTGGGGGCAGCCTGTCTGAGTGTTGGTTTTGACTCAAATGTCCACGCCTTCACTTGTCCAAGCTGGCTTGGGTTAAGGGATGTGTATGAATATATCCTTATGTTTATTGAGTTTGAGTCTAGCGAGTTTAATGCACCAAACTCCCTGGTAATATATAATTTCTGCGCATTACCCTTTGTGATTTAAAACAATGCATCAAACCTTCTTGTGTTATAATTAATAATGGGCATAACCCCTTCGAGGAACAAATTTAATGCCGAATAAAAGAAAAGTGATTAGTATTTTTGTATAATGTAGAGATCTTGACAAATTTACTTGCATGCTCAATCATCATAACCTTTCCATCATTTGCAATGGAGCCAAAGATTCAATATTTTTTGGCTTGAGAATATGATGGAATAAAGCAAAGTGGCTCACTGAACTGTATGCGCTTCTTTGTTATGAAGCAGCATTCAGACTATGCAATTTATGCGATTTTCACTATGCGTCATCATCCGGAAACAGTCTCTCTAAGCTTTAGTACAGAGGTAAGACTGCGTACATCCGACCCTCTTACCTCACCGTAGGTGGGAGCCTTTGCGGCACTGAGGTGATGATGATGATGCTGAATCATCATCATAACATTAAGACGAGTGATATTCAAATTGCTAAACTTGTTGTTTCCGGGTGTTATTTGCATGATTAAATATAACAGTAGGAGTTTTGATACATTTTTAAATCTGAAGGGGCTAATAAGCACAATTTATATATCACTAGGGAGTTTGACGCATTAAACCCCTATTAATGCCCAATTTACCCCTATTGAGGCAATTTCCTTAGTTATTATGCACTGCTAAAACTATACCATCTCATCCTTTTGTTAACTGTCAGTCCTCAAGAGAGAGAAAAGGCTTTGGAACAGCAAACAGTATTGAGACAGCTTGAGGCAGTCCTGTCCATTCATAAGTTAGCGAGACTTGGAAGTCATTTGGATGCATTGAAGGAGGTTGCAAAACTACCGTTTCTTCCATTGGATCCCAGGACACCAGGAATTGCCACTGAGGTCTTCCAAAATCTGTCTCCACATGTCCAAGCTTGTGTTCCAGACATTCTTAAGGTTGCTCTTCACTGCCTGGAGAATGTTCGAGATACAGATGGATCTTTGCGTGCTTTAAGGGAAAAGGTAAAACATGTATTTATGAACTCTCTTTTGCAATCTATTGCCTTGTAGTCCTCAAACTAAAAATTCTTAAATTTTAGTCCTCAAACTAAAAATTCTTACCTTTTAGTCCTCAAACTTTACTATTCATGACAATTTGGTCATTCCGTGAAGTTATGCTTCCATTTGTCCTTGAGCCAAGTAGCATGCCACACATTGCCATATGGCATACTATCAGAGTATTAGCTACATGGCATCCCTTCTGGTATTATTGTGCAATTGAAATTAGTTAAATTAATTTATTCTCCCTTTGTTCACATTTAGTACCACTCCTAGGGTATTCATGGAATGCAAGAATGAAATTCTATCGATAGTGAATAGTGTAGAAAAAGTGAAAATTTTGGATGGTTGAAAAGTATGGGAAAAAGATAAAATGCAAGTACATTTATGTCTTTATGATGGCAGTCCCCATAAATAGGAAAGCCGATCAAATAATAATAAACTTGCATAAAAGGAAAATGGAGCAACTGGGAGTGAACGAAGTAGTAGTTTTACTTAAAATAAATTTAATTTATAAAATAGTTCATACTTATTTCCTAACATTCACATATGCCTAAAATCTATATTATAATGCAAAAAATAAATTAGTAATATTATTTTATCATTGCAATGATAATGGAAAATTATGGAAAAACATGCATTTAAAGAGTAGGTATTCACCCAATTTTACAAATACTTAATTTCCGCATGCTATTTCTTTTCCATGAAAATTATGGAAGTGTATAACAAATTAGATAAAAGATGCATGCAAAACCTTCTATTATTATTATTTTGTTAGAAGAAACTAGTTGTTAACTTGTTACTTGGTAAATACTCCCTCCGTCCCACTAACAATGAGACAAGAGGGAGTGGCACACAAACTAATAAATAGTGGTGTGTGTGGTTGATATTGAATTGATAAAATAAGAATAAAGTAAGAATGATTTAGAGCCACTCAAACTTTACCAAATTTGGTATGAGACAATCTTAGTGAGATAGATCAAAAAGGTAAAATGAGACAATTTTAGCGGGATGGACGGAGTATATGCTATTTTTCCCACAATACTTTTGAGCAAAAGTTATGGTAATCTTCTTAGTTGAAGAGTATGTGACAACACTAAAGTCGTTTGTGTCTCAAAATAAATTCAATACTAGCACTAATACTGTAGTAGAACATAATAGAGTTCGTATGCACAAGAGAAAGTAATTCTTCTAGTATTGTGACAGGAAAGGGGGGAGTTTAGGTTTTTATGACTTGAGAATATTTAAACACTAAGATGAAAGAATTATGTGATTAATGAGATGAAGACTTGGTTTTAATATTTTCCACATGTTGAAATGTTTATTGATCCCGGTTATTTCTTTAACTATCCCTTCTCGAATACCAGTCACAGAGTATCTCCAAATTATCAAGGATACCTATAAATAACGATATACTTTCATTAACAACCCTTACTATTAGTCAAGTATAGAACAAGTGCCATATATTGACTTGATAGCAGCATTTGGTCTATTTCAATTTTAATAAAATCAACTGAGATTGACAACATCAACACAAGCGTTTTTCCGGTTTAATCAATGATTAAGTACCAGTTTATTGTTAGTTCTAGTAGTAATTAATGTTAAAGTGTTTACCGATCGTCACTTATTAACACCAACATTAATATAGATATATGAGTAGAGAAGTATACTCAAAAAGAGAAGTTTTAGAAAATAACTTACAATTTTAACATTCAACAAGCTTTAAAGTAGCAAAACCAAGAACAAGGAGTTTAACTCCTCATTTGGAGACTAAACATGAAAGAAATATAAAGAAAACATTTATCTGAATTGAGCTTAAGTATATGAGATAATGGATATGTAAATGAGAAGGAAAGAAATGCTTTTATAGGAGTTTTGGAGATGTTGGGTTTGATACCTGACCAAGTATCCATAGCAGTAGCCTAGAAAGTGATGAATTCTAATCAAACCTGGCGAAAGTGATGAATTCTAATCAAACCCGGCCAGGTTTCTCTCTAACCCTACCAGGTTTCGTACCAAATCAGATTTCCCACGTTCTTTTGATCTAACATTTCTGGTCTGATATCAACTAAAACTCGATTGGATTTGGGCTGGTAGTTTCGTGGTAGCTTCAGATGTCAGTTCTTACCCGACCAGGTTTTGCTCCAACCTGCTCGGGTATTGTATAACACATATCTTCAGATGTTGTTCTTTTGGTTTCCATAATACTCCCTTTTATCCACTTACAACAAACTTACACAAGATGTACAAACTGCACACACGTGATGAAATTTAAAGATTGCATCCTAAATTAAAAAATTCTAGTAAAAAACAACAAACAATAATAAAATAACATGCTTATGCCCTAAGAATTAGTGCATATCAATGCCATATGTTGCTAAAAGTACTACCTTCTCACCCCATTGGGCTGGTATCTAACATGAGTCTAGATCGTTTAGATAATCTTTTCAAGTGACTTCCTTTGGATTGGATATCTGCGCTCTATAATAGCTCAATGGTTTATCCATTTACTCAGCACTATGCATGTATAATCAATTTTTTTACGTTGACGATTGACACTTAATTTGTTGTATACTGCAGATTGCCAACTTTCTTGCCAACAATCTGGGCAGGAACTGGCCTCGTGATCTTTATGAAAAGGTTGCCCAACATTTATGAAAAGGTTGCCCAACATTTATGAAATGCATGCCCAAAAGGTTGCCCAAATCTGGGTAGGAACTGGCCTTGCACCTCATTTGGCTTTGCTTAAAAAGAATGTAGTTCAATAACATAATTTTCACTGTATTTGCCCATCAAATCTGACAATATAGTGTTATTTTTTGCTAGACCCCCATGTTCATTACTGACCGTACACCGTCATTGATTGCTATAGACCCCATATGTTTGAGGCTTTGAGCCTTTGAGTTAACATGATGTTCTATGAATCCGTAAAGGTTTGAGAGCTTTTGAGGAAGAGAAGTATCACTCATCTCTCACTGTTATGTTATGACTACTTACTCCGGGAAATTTTATGGTGTGAAGTTTACATTTCAATACACTGAAGTTAACAATGCTGTTGTGTTTCACACTGAATAGTGAATACTCAGTAACTCCGTACATATCAATAAAGAGTTGAAGAGCCCGTTTGATGATTTCATTTTTCAGCTTATCAGCCATCAGTCAAATTTTTAACCAAACATGTAATTTTTTATTTCACGTGCTGAATTTTGTAATAATAAGAAAAAGTAAGGTTGAAACTTGAAGTTGCTTTTCTGGTTGTATTGGCTGAAGTTATTGTAAATGACCATTTTTGCTATTTTTTATATTTTTTTATTTTATTAATAAAATATATTTTAAATACTTCGGTATAATTTATTCATAAATCAGTAAAATTAACTTTTGCATTAGGATTGGGTGACGAGAGTTCTGCGGTAACCGTTGTTGGCTCAATTATGTCCAGTTTAGGATCAGTGTGTTATATTGCTTTTGCAAAGGCGATTAACTTAGAGTCTGGCCTATGGCTGGACTCGGGCCGGTTCGGGCCCGGTTCGGGCCTGGGCCCGGCCGGGCCTCGGGCCAGAAAATTGGGGCCCGAGCCCGAACTGCCGGTGGCCGGTTCCGGTTTCGGGCCAAACTGGTCCTTTTTTTTTGGTTCTCCTATTTAACCCCTTACCCCTCCCCCTCAACCCCAAACCACCCCAAACCACCTCAAATGGCCCAAAATACCTAATCCAACCCAAAACTTAAAAAAAATTTCTAAAAAAAAAAAATTAAAATCCGGCCCGGACCGGGTCCGAACCGGCCGGTTCGCCTAAAGCAAGGCCCGAGCCCGGACCGCCCATCACCCGGGCCGGGCCAAACCGAACCGTTGGACCCACCGGGCCCCGGCCCGGGCCGGGCCAAACAGTAACCGGGCCGGTTCCGGGTCGGGCCGCCCTGCCCGAGTCCACGCCTAGTCTGGCCCAAGAGTGAATGGTTACTTGTGGTCTTTTGTTTTTTTAGACCCTTTCTAAATGGTTTAATTTTAATCTAAGCCTCCTTCCAAAAAAAAATAAATCAATAGAATTAGACAATATAGTCACTTCAGTCAAAATTTCATAAATTTCAGCAGAATCAACTGATTTGAGTGTTACTAAACAGGCTTGAAATGTTAGTGCAACTATCAGGTTGTGACCCAAATAGATCAGATTTTGAGAATGGTAAAATATTCATAGATTATATATCCACCAGATTAATTCAAATTAGATCAAATTTAAATAGACTAAATTTGATCATGGTTCGACGCCTACGTTCGTTCCTCCTGATGTTCATGTTACACATCGAGCCTACGTGACTAGCACTTGCCGCTTGGCGGCCCTCGCGGCCCTCGCGGCCCCCATGACCTATTCCTCTCCTCGTAAAGGCTCGTGACACAGCCCGGCTAGCCTCAAGGTAAGCTACCGACGCTTGTCCCTTAGGGTCATTTCTTGTTGCCATTCGCCTACCCTCCATTTCTGAAACGGAATTTGGACGAGTCTTTAGACTCCTATAAATGTCAATTGACGGAAAAACGTTATAGACACGTATTGACCCAAGTCACCACCATACCAATTGTTAAGGGTATCATCTTAACAATTAGAGGCCTTGCAACTTAAGCACCAATAGTCCTATAAACGTCAAAATACAATGCTCATGATTTTCGGTAAAAACTCTTTTGTAAAATCTTTTGTGAGAGGTTGATTATATAGTTTAGAACTGAGATGGCTCTGATACCACTTAATTGTCACGCCCCAGACCGCAATCCAAGCGCGTGTACAACCGCCGTATAACTAAGTGACGTCACCCACGAGTCAACCTCACTTAATTACACAAGGCGTTCGAGAAAACAATCCATCCATACTTAGTAGTAAACATACATAACAACATCACATTTAAACCAATGAATAGCGGAAATATTCAACGGTAAGTCATGAGCCACAACCAGCCAACGACATGGGCATGCAAGCCCAAAAAATGTTTATAGTAAAACAAATATCCATGAGCAAGTGTTCGGTAGTTTGAAAGAAAATAAGAAAGCACGAACCACGTCTTCCCGATATGATACCACCCGTGAGAAGGTGCAAGTAGCAAGCCCTAGCTTCAACCTGAAAATGGTGGGGCCCCCCGAAGGGGTCAGTACAAGTACCGAGCGAGTAGCAGGCTAAATATAGAATAACTAGCGTTTCAAGTATAAGACCCAAACATAGGGTGATACTTAAATAAATAGTCTTTCCCCCAAGTTATGAAATACTTATTAGCATATATATATACTTGGAAAATATCCGATCCGTAGATCACCATTTTATTTGGGAAAAATAGTAATAGTCAATATTCTTGACTAAAAACCCCAACCCACCCATATACCTATGAGTGTATAGGACTCCTCCTTGTCCCTATTTGTATATCATAATCTATGAGTTTTAGGATCATAATCCTTGGATACTCCACCGGTTTGTGAGTGTTAAGGACTCATAAGTCCTAGGGTCCTCCACCAAGTTTTGAGTGTTAAGTACTTTTAAGTACTAGGGTCCTCCACCAAGTTTGAGTGTTAAGTACTTTTAAGTACTAGGGTCCTCCACCAAGTTTTGAGTGTTAAGTACTTTTAAGTACTAGGGTCCTCCACCAAGTTTTGAGTGTTAAGTACTTTTAAGTACTAGGGTCCTCCACCAAGTTTGAGTGTTAAGGACTTTAAGTCCTAGGGTCCTCCACCAAGTTTTGAGTGTTAAATACTTTTAAGTACTAGGGTCCTCCACCAAGTTTTGAGTGTTAAGTACTTTTTAAGTACTAGGGTCCTCCACCAAGTTTTGAGTGTTAAGTACTTTTTAAGTACTAGGGTCCTCCACCAAGTTTCCCTATGATCAACCTCCTATCAACCTAGATAGAGTCTATATCATACTTAGTTACTCATAACTAATCCAATACATAAATCTTATGTATCACAATCCATGCAAACCATGCATTTATATAGATTTATAATTAATTAATACCAACCGGTATTAATTAAATCCTTTGTTCTTCGGTCCACGTTTTCGTTGACCGCCATTTCATACCTTGTGTGTATCAACTTAATCATCATGTAATTAAGTTAATAATATTCGTTTGTGCTTCTAATATACTTCAAGCAAATATGCATTTCATATAATTCTTCATATCATATTCCATGCATCAACAATTAATTTCTTTCATACAAACTTAATCCTATTGGCTAATCACATGTTTAAATATCTTTTAAACATCATTATGAACTCATATAACATTTATTTAGGTAATCTCATAATTAACCCAAAAGTTATAATATATTAAGCCGTCCACTCACCTTGAACTAGCGTTAGGAGGTTCTACCCTTCTTGGTTGAACTCCGGTGAAACTCCGGCGACTTTTGGTCAACTCCGGCGACTTTTCCAACTTTGTGAAATCACTTGAAATACCCTTTACAAGTGCCTAACAAGGTTTTAACATCATAAAACCTTAATCAATACAAATAACCTATAAAAGGTTATTTTCCGGTGAACCGGTCATTTTGGCCTCTAAGTCCGTTCTTGGACGTAGAACCACCTTTCAACCCATGAATCCATACTTATAACATATGGAACCATACTAAAGGTCCTTCACATGATATATACCTCACATGGTAGAAGAAAAATAAAGGAGAAGTTATAATAAGGTCATTACCTTAATTATTCACACTTTTTTTTTCTTTAACCCGGTAGGTAAACCACCAAAATCAGTGGGGTAGATGCCGGGGAACATCTACCAAGTTTTATAAAACTCACTCAAAAAATTACATGGGGGGACCAAACCTTAACCCACAACAATAAGAGTAAATAAAAGTGAGAATAAGAGCTAACAATCTATCAGAAAAAATAAGGCACCGAGCTCCTATCCAAATTGGTTGCTCCCAATAGTTCATTGGGCACAGTGTTCCCCATCCGCCATGTAAAAATCTCCATAAAGCCCAATTTAGCTACAACCATAGCTGCCAAATTTGCTTGGGCTGGTATATCATGAAAGGAATCCACCGTCAAAAGGCCCAGCCTCGATCTGTCCATCTCCCTTGAATGTAAATAGGAAACATCCACTTCCAAATTAGGAAGTTGAAATGTTTCAGACCACCGAATCGCCTGGTACAGCACCTCGTCTTCTCTATCTGTCGAACCACTCAACGGAAAACCGTCTGCCGCCACAATCGCACCAGCATGATCTCGCAGAAGGAATCCAGCAGAAGACCTTCCATTTTGCCTGAAGATTGCCCAATTAAGCTTGACCTTCGAGTAAGCCGGCTTCCTCCACCTGAAGATTTGCGGTTTTCTTGCCTTGAAAGAGTGAGGTAATAACCCTACATCTTTTAGCCTTTCATTTCCTCTAAGATTGTCATTCGCCCAGCACCAGTTCAACATAAACTTGCAAATCTGCTTAGTAATCATCTCCTTCTCAATTAATTCATCTTTCCAGATATAATTCCAATAAGCTTTCCATAAGTGCCAAGTTATAACTCCTGGCAGAATAATAGTGTATAACTTATCCATCGTTTTTCCTTTCACACTAATCCACCATTTCATTAACTGAAGTTTAATTGTGTTGGCTTTTCCTTTCCCTGTTAACAGTGTGCATGCGAAGAAACTCCATACAGAATCTGCTATAGGACAAAGCAACAAAATATGATCCTCCGTTACTTCTGCTTTTCTACAAAACGGGCACATAGACGGATATATTGCCGCAAAGGTGGCCACCTGTTCAGGAAATGGTAGCCCCTTATGCCAAAGTCTCCAAAGGAATACTCTAATTTTTGGTATCTGCCTATGGTGCCAGATATTAGTATTTGATAAAATCTTCCCTCCTTGTGGCCTTAATGCCCTATAGGCCGATTTGGATGTAAATTTACCATCCGTAGAGTGTTTCCAGCTTATTGAGTTAGGACCCTTGACCACCATTGCCTCAGCCTCCTCATTTATGAGGCAAATTCTTCTCCACGTTGGAGAATCAGTTGGCTTGACCTCACCAACCATCCTCTTCTCATATATACTCCTCATGAGATTTGCCCAAATGGATTCACCTTGCTGAAACTCCCACCAAAGTTTCATAGCAGAAATCTTTTGTAAATCCTTAAGGGATCTAACACCTATCCC